TAATTTTTCCCCATTGAATATGATGTTGTCTGTAGGTCTCTCATATATGGCCTTTATTACATTGAGGAATGCTCCCTCTATTCCCACTTTGCTGAGTGTTTTTATCATACATAGGTGCTGTACTTTATCAAAGGTTTTTTCCATATGTATTGATATGGCCATGTGATGTTTGTCTTTGCTTTTGTTTATATGATGTATTACATTTACTGATTTTTTAATATTGAACCATCCTTGCATGCCTGAGATGAATCCCACTTGATCATGGTATATGATCTTTTTTAATTTTTTAATTTTTTTTATTGATTATGCCATTACAGTTGTTCTATTCCCCCCTTCATTCCCCTCCACCCTACCCCCATCCCCAGCATTACCCCCTTTAGTTTATGACCATGTGTCTCAAGTTCTTTAGATTCTATATTTCTCATACTATTCTTGCCCCCCCCATCTATTTTCTATCTACTGTCTATGCTACTTATTTTCTGTACCTTCTCCCCCCTTTTCCTCCTCCCACTCCCCTGCTGCTAACCCTCCTTGAGGTCTTCATTTCTATGTTTCCACTCCTGATCTAGCTGTCCTTTTGGTTTGCTTTTGTTTTAGGTGTGGTTGTTAATAACTGTGAGTTTGCTGTCCTTTCACTGTTCATGTTTTTTTAACTTCTTTTTATTAGATAAGTCCCTTTAACATTTCATAGAATAGGGGCTTGGTGATGATGAACTCCTTGAATTTGATCTTATCTGAGAAGCACTTTGTCTGCCCTTCCATTCTAAATGAAAGTTTTGCTGGATAGAGCAATCTTGGTTGTAGGTGTTTGGATTTCATGACTTGGAATACCTCTTTACAGCCCCTTGTTGCCTGGAAGGTCTCTTTTGAGAAATCTGCTGACAGTCTGATGGGGACTCCTTTGTAGGTGACTGTCCCCTTAGCTCTTGCTGCTTCTAGGATTCTCTCCTTCATTTTAATTTTGGCTAATGTAATGATGATGTGCCTTGGTGTGTTCCTTCTTGGGTCCAACTTCTTTGGGGCTCTCTGAGGTTCCTGGATTTCCTGGAAGTCTATTTCCTTTGCCAGATTGGGGAAATTCTCCTTTATTATTTGTTCAAATAAGTTTTCCACTGGTGGCTGTGCCTTTCCCCCTTCTGGTACCCCTATAATTCAGATGTTGGAGAGTTTAAAGATGTCCTGGAGGTTCCTAAGACTCTCCTCATTTCTTTGAATTCTTGCTTCCTGACTCTTCTGTTTGGCCATTATTTGCTTTCTTCTGGTCCACTCCATTGATATGAGTCCCAGTTTCCTTTTCATCGCTATTAGTTTCCTGTGCAATTCCATTCATTTCAATTAGTTTCGCCTTCATATGTTTCTCTAATTTGTGGCTATAATCAACCAGTTCTGTGAGGATCCTGATCACCAGTGTTTTAAACTGTGTGTCTGAGAGTTTTGCTATTTCTTCATCACTTAGATTTATAGGCTCTGGGGCTTTGAGATCTTCTTGAGCCATTTTTGGTCTGTTTGCACCCGTTTAGTATGAGGAGTGGAGCCTTGGACTCCCAGGTCGCTAGGTTGTGATGCTGTATGTGGGGGTGTGGTCAGAGCAGGGAAATGGCGACCCCCTCTGCTGTTTCGTACTGCGGGGTGAGGAGCAGAGCCTTAGGTGGTTCACCCAGGCAGGGCCACTCAGGTCGCTGGGTTATGATGCTGTATGTGGAGGCAGAGTCAGAGCAGGGAAATGGCAGCGCCCTCTGCTGCCTCTGGGGCCTGCTGGGTCCCGTCTAATCACCCACTCTTGTGCTTGTCCATCTGTGCATGAATGTGCCATCACAGTCAACCCGCATCCCTGCTCCCTGGCTGTTTCCCCGAGGTCGCTCATTGGGTGGCTTACTAGGTTCAATCCTGCACCTGGGTTCTGCGCACCTGAGTCTGTCTGACCGAGTTTTCCTGTGCAACCCCGCTCCTCCAGCTGCTGGTTTCACCCCTCTTACTGGTCAGGCTGAAGAATTTGTTGTTATCAGACTTCCGAAAAGTTCAATTTTCTGTGTTCTGACTATGTTTTCTGTTGCTAATATTTAATTGTCTCTAAACTTTGTTGTGTGAGAAAGCACGGCGTCTCCACCTATGCCTCCATCTTGATCTTTTTAATGTATTGTTGGATGTGATATGCCGATATTTTGTTGGGAATTTTAGCATCTATGTTCATCACTGATATTGGCCTGAAGTTTTCATTCTTTGTTGTGTCTTTATCTAGTTTTGGAATTAGGATGATGATGGCTTCATAAAAAGAGTTTGGGAGACTTCTTTCATTTGGGATTGTTTGGAATAGTCTGTGAAGAATAGGGGTTAGCTCTTCCTTAAAAGCTTTGTAGAATTCTCCTTTGAAACCATCTGGTCCAGGGCTTTTGTGTGATGGGAGTTTTTTGATTAACGCTTCAATTTCATTTGCTGTTATTGGTCTGTTCAGACTTTCTGCTTGTTCTTCATTGAGTTTTGGAAGATTATATTTTTCTAGAAATGTGTCCATTTCCCCTAGGTTTTCAAATTTCTTGACATACAGTTTTTTATAGCAATTTCTTAAAATCCCTTCTATTTCTGTGGTATCAGTTATAATCTCTCCTCTTTCATTTCTGATTGTGTTTATTTTGGTCCTCTCTCTTCTTTTTTTGATGTGCCTACTTAAAGGCTTGTTGACTTTATTTATCTTTTCACAAAACCAGCTCCTGGATTCATTAATCCTTAGAATTGTGCTTTTAGTCTCTATGTCATTTAATTCTGCTCTGATCTTGGTTATTTCCTTCCATCTACTTTCTCTGGGCTGTTTTTGTTGTTGTTCCTCGAGTTCTTATAGGTGCAGGGTTAGGCTGTTTGTTTGAAATGTTTCTATCTTCTTTAGATAGGCCTGTATTGCTATGAACTTCCCTCTCAGGACTGCCTTTCCTGTGTCCCACAAGTTTGGTTTGTTGTGAGTTCATTTTTGTTTGTTTCCACAAACTTTTTGATTTCTTCCCTAATTTCATTCCTGACCCGTTCATTGTTTAATAGCTTGCCATTCAATCTCTATAATTTTGGGTGTTTTGGTTTTTTTCCTTTGGGGTTGGTTTCCAGTTTCAGTCCCTTGTGGTGGGAGAAAATGCTTGGGATGATTTCAATTTTCTTGAATTTGTTGAGGCCTGTTTCGTGTTTTATCATGTGGCCTATCTTTGAAAATGATCCATGTGCATTTGAAAAGAATGTATATTTAGCTTCTTTGGCATAAAGGGTCTAGATATATATCAGTTAAGTCCATTTCATCTAGGGTGTTGTTCAATGCCACAAAATCTTTGTTGATATTTTGTTTGAAAGATCTGTCCATTTTTGACATTGGGGTGTTAAAATCCCCTAGTATAATTGTGTTGCTGTCAATATCTTTCTTGAAGTCCTCTAAGATTTTCTTTATGTAGTTGGGTGCTCCTATGTTGGGTATATATATATATGATGTTAATGTCTTCTTGGTGGATTCTTCCCCTTAGTATTATGAAGTGACCTTCTGGGTCTTTCTTTATGGTCCTTTTTTGAAGTCTATTTTGTCTGCTATGAGTATTGCTACCCCGGCTTTTTTTTTTTTTCTTGTTCGTTTGCTTGGAAAATTTGTTTCCAGCCCTTCACTTTTCATCTGTGTAGGTCTTTTCTCCTGAAATGGGTCTCTTGTAGGCTGCATATGTGTGGGTCATGCTTTATTATCCATTCAGCTATTCTATGTCTTTTGATTGGAGCATTTAATTTATTTACGTTTAATGTTATTATTGATAGGTGCTTATTCATGGCCATTTTTGTACCTGTGTTCCTCTCTGTGTCTCTCTTTTCCTTCCTTTCCTTAAAGCAGTCCTTTTAGCATCTCTTGCAGAGCTGGGTTGGTAGAGGCGTATTCTTTTAGACTTCTTTTGTCTTGGAAGCTCTTTATTTGGTCTTCTCTCTTGATTGAGAGCCTTTCTGCGTAAGGTAGCCTTGGTTGCAGGCCTCTGGTTCTCATTACTTGGAATATTTCTTGCCATTCTCTTCTTGCTTGGAGTGTTACCACTGAGAAGTCAGTTGCTAACCTTATTTGGGCTCCCTTGTATGTTACTTCCTTTTTCGCCCTTGCTGCCTTTAAGATTCTCTGTTTGTCTTGGAATTTTGGCATTTTAATGATGATGTGTCTTGAAGTGGGCCTCTTTGGATTCCTCTTGATTGGGACTCTCTATGATTCCTGAATTTGTGTGGCTTTTTCTCTCATCCAGTTAGGGAAGTTTTCCATCATTACTTTTTCAAATAGATTTTCTATCCCTTCTTCTTCTTCTTCTTCTCCTTCTGGTATCCCTATTATTCAGATATTATTACATTTCATATTTTCTTGCATTTCTCTTAATCCCTTTTCATTCTTTCTGAGTCTTTTTCTTTTTCTTGCTCTTTCTGAGGGTTTTTTCTACTTTGTCTTCCAACTCACTGATCCGATCTTCTGCTTCATCGATCCTGCCTTTAATTTCTTCTACTCTGTTCTTCAGTCCAGAAATTCTATTCTTCATTTCCTGTTGTCTCTTGCTGATAATTTCTATTTCCTTTTTCATTTTGATATAGTTTGCAGTGAGTTCATTGTAACTCCCCTGTAGTTTCTGGTAGCTCATTGTGAGCTCTTTGAACTTCCTGATAACCAGTGCTTTGAATTTAATATCTGATAGTTGACTTGCCTGTTTCATCTAACATTCTTTCTGAGGCTTCCTCCTTTCCTTTCATTTGGGGATTGTCTCTTTGTCCTTCCATTGTTTGTGAGACTATTATTGTTAGCCTCAGCTTCTCAAAAATGTGGAATGAGCCCTGGCTGGTACAGTTCAGTGGATTCAGCATGGGCCTGTGAAGCAAAGGTTCAATTCCCAGTCAGGGCACATGCCTGGGTTGCAGGCCAGTTCAGGGGAAACATGAGAGGCAACCATACATTGATATTTCTCTCCCCCCTCCTTTCCTTCCCCTCTAAAGATAAATAAATAAATTTTTTTAAAAAATATATGGAATGCTTCACAAATTTGCATGTCATCCTTGAACAGGGGCCATGCTAATATTCTCTGTATCATTCTAATTTTAGTGTGTGTGCTGGCAAAGCGAGCACCACAACATATATTTAAGTCTTTCATCCACCTTGAATTTATTTTTGTGTATGGTGTAAGTTTGTGTTTAAGTTTCATATTTTTTGTATATAGCTGTCCAGATCTATCAACACCACGTGTTGAAGAGGCTATTTTTACTCCATTTTATGCTTCTTCCCCTTTGTCAAATATTAACTGACCATAGACACTTGGGTTTATTTCTGGGCTTGTTAGTCTGTCCCATTGGTCTAGGTGTCTGTTCTTATGCCAGTAACAAGCTGTTTTGATTAAAGTGGCCCTGTAATACAGTTTGGTATCAGGTACTGTGACCCTTCCTCCTTTGTTCTTCTTTCTCAAACTTGCTGCAGCTATTCTGGGTAATTTATGGTTCCATATAAATTTTACAAATGTGTGTTCTATAGCTGTGAAATATGTCATTGATGCTTTAATAGTGACTGCATAAAATTTATAAATTGTTTTGGGTAGTATGGACATGTTGATGATGTTAATTCTTCCAATCCAGGAACTTGGTACATGCTGCCATTCATCTGTGTCTCTCTTAATTTCTTTCTTCGGTGTTGTGTAGTTTTCTGAGTACAGGTCTTTTACTTCCTTGGTTAGGTTTATTCATATGGTAGGAGACCTGTGAGAACCAGTGGTGCAGTCTCCTTTTTCTCTTGAACTTGCCGCTCTTGGGCTAAAATTTATGTTGGCTCTCTGAATGTATTTGGGTTTTGATTGTTAGTGGGTCTTCCTTCTAGCTGGTTAACTCAGGGTCACTTCAGCCACCATGTCTTTTATACTGTTGTGCAGGTGAGGATAGATTGTATTGAAGCTGGTTCTTCTTTCTATCTGAGGATATGTGGCTTCTCTCTCGCTATTGCTTAGTTTGTTCTGGATAGTTTCTCTATCGTTTAATTGTAATTCAGATTGGTCTGGGTGGAGGTTAGTGTGGCTTTTAGTCATTCCTCTGCCATCTTCCTTTATTTTCTGTTGGTGGTTCCTTTGTTAGTAGGTTGTCTCTTCAAGTGTGTATATTGGTGTTCACAGCTCCCATCTACAAGGGAGCTCACATACTGCCTTTGTCTGGGATCCATTATCATGAGCCTTAGACTGGAGGAGGTGTGGTCTCTCATGTACCAACCTGCTGCTATCAGTGAACTCCCTTGTAATGTGAATAATGAAAGACATGTCCACATCTGCTAGCCCACTGGGTATTTTTTTTTGGAATATCATGAACAATTAAGTAGCTCCCTGGTTTGAGACTCCTGTGCTACTATGCAGTCTCTCTCTCTGACCCACCCCTATTGGTGCACTCCACTTGGATGAGAGTAATAAACAGCATGTCCATATCTGCTAGTTCTTTTGGTTTTTGTTTGTTTTTTTAATGTCATGAACACTTAATCAACTCCTTGGTTTGGGTTTGAAGCACCTGCATTACAGCTGGTGGTAGAGTAGGGAGGTGAGAGAAAGCAAAGGGGCTGTGGGGATGGGAAACCTCTGAGATGGGATAAAAGGTAAAATGATAGACACATACTTCTTTTACACAGGTGTGTAAAGGATAGCTAACATCCTTTACAGGATGACTATTACCATGCTAATAGTCAACAATTAGCAAGGTAACAATAACCATGAGAGGATTTGTGGTCTCAGCTCTGGTGCTATGGTTGTGCCCAAGGGGTTTAGAAAAAGGAAAGTTACCACAACATTCTAAAGATATGTTATCATAGATACAAAAAGACATTAAACAGGCTCAATTAAGGTAAAGATTACCTTTGTTATGGAAAATACCAGCCTAGGAAATGACTACCCGCCATGAACTGCTGTTAATTAACGTTTTAATTACATAACATCCTTTGTGGTTACTTTAGGTCTGCCTTGCAGGCCTCCTCTGAGCTTGTCAGGTTAATATGTGGCCCATTTTCATTCACAGTGTTAAAGACATCTGGCTCCTGAGGGATCCTGCCACTACTGATTTTCGTCCCATGTTCCATCCAGGGTACCAAGGGAGCTTTAGGTCCTAGGTCTTGCTGAAATGGCTAGCAGAGAGTTGCTGGCCATTAAAACTCTCTTCAGTTTTTGAGTCACCTCTTCTAACAAGCATCCAAATGAGAAAACACTCCAAGTGAGCAGATTGGGCAACTTAATTTTCTCCCTCTAGAAAAAATGGGGACTCCTAATGGTTTTTCTTTGCTTCTCTACCTATAATTCCAAGTTTACTGCAATAGCAGTCAGTGAGCACAAGTGGCCAAGCTGGGAGATACTGAATTACCATTGAGATGAGGCAGAAGATACAACAGGAAATCTTGAGACACTGCAGCTGTCATCAGACAACATCCTGATTTTTTAGAATCATCTTGTGATGCCTGATAATAATTAGCATTGTGCCTCCCTCCCCAAGTTGGCAATCAAGGAGGACTGTGGGAAATCACATGTGTAGAAGCTTAAGTAAAAACCCTATAAAGTAGGGGTATCAAACTCATTTTCACTGGGGGCCATATCAGCCACATGGTTGTCTTCAAAGAGCCAAATGTAATTTTAAGACTGTATAAATGTAACTACTCCTTAACTAAGGGCAAGGAGCTCAGTGCTGCCGCCAGGTAGAAACAAGGTGCTGGGCCAGATAAAACAAGGTGGAGGGCCAGATTCAGCCCACGGGCCTTGTGTTTACCTCTTGTGCTATAAAGCCTGAGTAACCCTTCAATAGAAAGGAGCCATTTCCTGGCCAGTAATGGCCCACACCAATGCCTTGGAAAATGTACTTTCCTTAATAAATTTCCTGCTTGCTTTACTTTACAATATCTGTGTGGTCAGTCCAATCCTATATTCACAACCACCAAGAGCCTGGACCCTGTTCTCATTTGCAAAAATGAAGAAAACACAAGTTTGATCATAAAGGATATAAGGGCTGTAAGAAATTTTATTAACAAAAACTACTTACAGCATTACTTTTGAGCAGGAGCAGTGGGGTTAAATGTAATCTCTTCATGGTTCTAAACCAGAAACAGGAAAATAAATAGAGAAATTTGTGATTGCCTGCTGTTGTCTTAGGGATTTTACTCCGTCACTTCTGTTTGAGCATATTCTCTTCTGGAATCAGGTAAGAATTCAGGGTACTATCTTATCAGTCTGACACTGAAATGCAATTTTTAAATCTGGTTTTTAAAAGGTAAGAACAGTTTAACCCATCTCTAGAGAGCAAAGAAGAATGTGCCCCAGCAGTCTGACCTTAAGTCTAAGGCTTGTCATCAGCCTTTACACCCTCTTCCCTTGCACACCATGGCCTTTCAGTCCAGGTGAGGAGTAATTGCCTATTCAACAGCATCTACCATAAGGAAATTGAGAATTTGGGACACTGGGAGGAGTGAACCTCAAACGGCAAGGACAAAGCAGAGGCCTGGGAGAGTTTGCATTTAATTTTTGGGAGATAAAGGCAATTAGGAAGAAGAAGGTCTTAAAACACATTGGGAATTGACTAGAGGCACCACCTGTGGAAAGGGTGTCAAAACAAAGAAAAATTTTAAAAAACAAATGGGACTTTTGGAGGCATAGGTGGAAACACTGTGCCTCCTCACACGACCAAGTTTAAAGACAACAAAGTTTTAGTAACAAAAACGCAGCCAAAACACAGAAAATTGAATTGTACGAAAGTCCGACAACAAACCATTCATCTAGACTGATAAGAGGGGCGGAGTCAGTGGCGTGGAGCGGGGTTTGGCAGGAAAGATCAGCCTGACTGAGCCAGGAGTGCAGGGGTGCAGGAGTGCAGGGGGCGGTTGGCGAATCCCAGGTGTGAGGTGGCCACGGGCAGACCCAAGGAGGGCGCAAGGTGGCTGGCTGACCACAGTCACACATTTGCACGCAGATAAACCAAGCGAAGGAGTGAGCAGTGACACAGACCACTCAGGCTAGGGCCCCAGCAATGGGAATTAAAGCCTAAAAGCACCGATTGGAAAAACTTTGAGGTTGAGGTGCCGGGAGAAGCTCCCAGTCTCACAGAAAGTTCATTGGAGAGACCCATAGGGTCCTGGAGGGTTCACAAGCCCACACACCTGAGAACCAGCACCAGAAGGGCCCAATTTGCTTGTGGGAAGCAGCAGAGGGGACAAAAATCTGAGAGAGAGCAGAACAAACGACATTGCCCCTCTCTGACCCCACCCCCACATACAGCATCACAACCCAGCAACTGGCTTGCCCTACCCTGGTGAACACCTAAGTCTCCGCCCCTCATATGTAACAGGTGCAACCTGTCCAAAACATTATGGCTCAAGCAGAAAAAGAGCTCAAAGCCCCAGAGCCATTAAATCTAAGTGACCAAGAGATAGCTAACCTTTCAGATGCAGAGTTCAAAACACTGGTGATCAGGATGTTCACAGAATTGGTTGATTTTAGTCACAAATTAGAGGAACATATGAAGGCTAAACTAATTGAAATGAAGGGAAAGTCACAGGAAACCAATAGTGATGGAAAGGAAACTGGGACTCAAATCAAGGGAGTGGACCAGAAGGAAGAAAAAAATGACCAAACAGAAAAGAATGAAACAACAAGAATTCAAAAAAATGAAGAGAGGCTTAGGAATCTCCAGGACATCTTTAAACGTTCCAACATCCGAATTATAGGGGTACCAGAAGGGGAAGAGAAACAGCCACCAGTGGAAAACTTATTTGAACAAATAATAAAGGAGAACTGCCCCAATCTGGCAAAAGGCAATAGACTTCCAGGAAATCCAGGAACCTCAGAGAGTCCCAAAGAAGTTGGACCCAAGAAGAAATACACCAAGGCACATCATCATTACATTAGCCAAGATTAAAATGAAGGAGAGAATCCTAGAAGCAGCAAGAGATAAGGGGACAGTCACCTACAAAGGAGTTGTTCCCACCAGACTGTTAGCTGATTTCTCAAAAGAGACCTTACAGGCAACAAGGGGCTGGAAAGAAGTATTCCAAGTCATGAAATCCAAAGACCTACAACTGAGATTGATCCATCCAGCAAAGCTTTCATTTGGAATGGAAGGGCAGCTAAA